CTCAAATCTTTCACATTCTCACAATCCACAATCGTTCGACACGCCCGCGCTAAAACGTTCACATCACTACTCAGCGATGTACCCAATTTTTCCAAAATTTCCCGTAGATTTTTTCCCGGTAGTTTTCTCGCTTTTACCACTCCAATCGCACTCAACAACTCCTCCTCATCCAATCTCGGCACCATAATCGTCAGCGCTCTTCCCACTCCCAACTCCGGACTTTTTCGCCCACTTTTAAACGTTCTTAAAAACAATTTCCGTCCAGATTTTCTCGTTACTCCCCCAGTGTGCACAAGTTCAGGTGTAGCAACCGAACAGTTTTTCCTGAGAATTTGATTTCTCCTCAGCCGAGTGAGAAAACAAATTGCCGATCGTGACAACTGCTGAGTGTTTTGTCTGCGCCCGAGAGACGTAGTACAACACATTTCAAACATAACGGAAAACTGATGAAGAAGAGAATCTTAGGTTCCCCCATGCAAGATACAGATTAGGTCCACATTTGATATATCCAGCGATTTAATGAAAAAAAATTCCCATTTACGGAGATATTCACCCAAACTTTCATCGAAAAAGTGCACACACACACATTTCCGTTTCTCATAGCATTAAATATACAAAAAATTCATAAAAATGTAGTGGAGTGCACCACCCTAGTGATATGAAAAATTCTAGTAAAAAATACATTTCACGACTACTGCATACCACCGGAAATATCGCGTTTTTCACCGAGTTTTAAAACGCCACTTCACGTAAAACGGGTCGTGGAACTCCATTATATATGAAAATATTTTTTTTCAGAAAATATATACCCAAACTCATACCATGAATGTATAAATATACATCCACGCAAAAAAACTAATCCTAATACTAGAAAATGCAAAGTTTATACAAAAATCATTGCAGTTTCACCCGTTTTACGCGAAGTGGCGTAAAACTTGGTAAAAAACGCGACATTCGCAGTAGTCGTGAAATATATTTTTCACTAGCGTTTTTCACATCACTAGGGTGGTGAAACTCCATTAAAACAGTGTTGGAGAATATGTACATGGTCAACTACGTAGTATGATAACAACAATAAAATTCCTAGGAAATTCCGGGAAAAATTTTCATTACTTTCTGCATATTCCCTCCCTAATTTTCCGTGCTACTACTATACCCATAATGCACTTTTAGAAATTCTTGAGCTCAGCTGAGGAAACCAAATCACATTTTCTAACGTGATGAAAAACGCGATATAAAATACTTCGCGAAAATCATCAAAAAAATATATTATAAATACGAAGTGAAGTTGGAGAAACGCTTTCATCGTTTTGAAAAGATCTAGCGGTAAATTTGAAAACTTGCTAGACTTCATTTTATGCTTATCATTGGAGTTTCACCACCCTAGTGATATTAAAAATATATTTCACGACTGCTGCATATCACCGCGAATATCATCGCGTTTTTCACTTCACGTAAAACGGGTGAAACTGCAATATACAAAAACTATACATTTTCAATCTGTGTGATAAGTACTATTTTTCAATGATTTTCTGCACATTTTCACCCAAACTTCCACGAGTTCACTCCCTACCAAGAAAAAATAAATATCAATCCAGATTAGGTGGGGAAAAATATGCACAAATATATCAAATAATATTTTTTTATTTACGATAATTTCCGAACAAGGTATGGGAGTGAAAATATTCAAAATGAAATTAATAAAAAACTCAAATTAAATTTATGGTTTCGGTGAGAAAATTAATTTTTATTCGAAAACTCTCATGTGGAGAGGAAAATATGCACATGGTCATCAACTACATGTGTTGGTGATGATGACAATACGAAAATTCTGAGAGGAAATTCTTATTAGTTTTTGTAAACTCCTGAGCTCAGCTGAGGAAACATATACACGGTCATCAACTACATGTATTTGTTGATTTCTGAATACACTTCTACCCGAATTCACTGAGGAAAGTAAACATATATTCCCCCTCCAACACTGCTCTCAACTGCTTGCTGGAAAAAAGAGTACTCATTTATAAAACGGAAAAAACTAAAATATTCGTAATTCCCATATTTTCCCATATTTTCATATATTTTCCCATATTTACCCATATTTTTCCATATTTTCGCATATTTTTCCACATTTTCCCGATATTTTC